ATGTTGATGAACTTATTGGGAACACTAAACAGAACGAAGTTTCTCAGGATATGTTCTGTTCCACAAATACACATAATAAAATCCTTATGCTACTCTATCACAGATGACTATGATTTCAGAAGCAATGAAACCCACATGTTGCTATTCGTTCAAGACTAAGCATGGAGCTCTTTGTCTGAGAGAGGAGGAGGAGGAAGAGTACCTGATGGGCCAACCTCTCAGTATAATAAAAACTGGCTGCCTTCCTGTCTGAGGATTAAGTTCTTTCCTACCACATTGAAGATTCAGTTGGATAAGGGCTAAAGCTAAGTCCAATGATCCCAAACCCAACCAAGAAAAGCCTCTACATATCTGTGGCAGACCTCTTAATTTTAAGAGTAAACAGTTCTATGCTGGCACAGCAAGCACCAGTTATCTAGGCAGACCCAATGGAAATTGTACAACTCATGGAACAAGCCAACATTAACACACACTAAATCACACTCTGCAGAGCTGGCAATAAGAAAGTCATAAAAAAAGTAAAAGTTTCCCTCGGACATACGTGCTAGTCGTTCCCAACTCTAGGGGGCGGTGCTCATCTCCGTTTCTAAGCCAAAGAGCCAGAGCTGTCTGAAGACGTCTCCGTGGTCATGTGGGCGGCATGAGTAAACACAGAAGGTGCACGGAACACTGTTACCTTCCCACCAAAGGTGGTTCCTGTTTTTCTACTTGGATTTTTACATACTTTCAAACCGCTAGGTTGGCAGAAGCTGGGACAAGTAACGAGAGCTCACTTCATTATACACACTAGGGATTTGAATTGCTGAACTGCCGACCTTTCTAATTGACAAGCTCAGCATCTTAGTCACTGAACCACCACATCCCTTCTAAGAAATTCATAGATAACTCTAAAAACAATACAGAAGCTGTACCTGTGTTTTATTGAATATATACTTTTTAAAAACAAGACAAAGATATTTAAAACTAAACTTTTCTTAAAGAATTGCTTTTACTGAGAACAATGAGCATTGTTTATTTCAAGGATAAATAGGACACCGCTACTTTTTCCAGTATTAAATTAAATCTCCAGCACAATGACAGGACTGCCATCCTTTTCACTCCAGCTTTGCTTCACTAGATGCCAGTCTGTCATGAACTAGGGGGGGAGGCAGCTGGGGGAAAGTGAAATTAAACACCATGCTGTCCCAAGACATTGGCTCATCACTTCAAGACCACAGGCTGGGAAATGGAATATAACAGCTCACAATCCAGCCTGCCTTTGCAGAGATAGTTATCAAAACACCTTCTTCAAATTTAAATGGACAATTGCGAGATAACAGGGGGGAGGAATGAAAAGGGAAAAATTAACTGGAAGACTTTCACATGCAAAACCTTAATTTTGGCTTTGCTTTCTTGGCTTTTTACTAAAAGAATTATTTTTGCTACACATGGAGTCAAGAGTATTTCTTTCCTAGAGGACCAAACTGGAGCAGGCCTGGCACACAATTTTAAATTCCAGCATAAATCAGGAAATTGTAACATTGGCATTAACTGCAGGAAATACTTCCTAAGAAATAAAACAGTATTGAGAATCCACTGGCCTATAGACATCGAGTTCTAATCCATAATTTTGTTGTCCTCCCCAAAAGAGGGAACAGCTAGCAAGAGATTATACTTCTATTACTAGTTACCGGACAGTTCATATCAATATATTTATGAAACAAGCTTAATTGCATCATAATTTTCCCCAAAAAAAGAAACAGGGAAGGAACAACTAAGAAATGTATGAATATTTAGCGTCACCCAATATGATATTAATCTATAATCAATTCAATACAGGTAGTCTTCATTTAGCAAGTGTCTTACAGTGACCATTCTCAGTTACAACAGTGGCAAAAAGTAACTTTTTACCCTTCACAGAGCTATGGAGCAAAGGAAAGAGTGCAGTACACTCTGACGTAAGAGTATAAGCACAGCATGGTTCCACTTAGTGATCATTTCATTTAATGGTCACGTTGCCAGTCCCAACTTGGTTGTTAAATGAGGACTAACTATATATGAATAAAATAGCAATAGTAGACTTATATACCGCTTCATAGGGCTTTCAGCCCTCTCTAACGGTTTACAGAGTCAGCATATTGCCCCCACAGTCTGGGTCCTCATTTCACCCACCTTGGAAGGATGGAAGGCTGAGTCAACCCTGAGCCAGTGAGATTTGAACTGCTGAACTGCAGATAACAGCTGAAGTGGCCTGCAGTACTGCACCCTAACCACTGCACCACCTAAATATTCTACTGCACTCAATAGTCAAATGCTTTTAAAGGTCAAAATGAAAAGCATGAAAACCACAACGTAATAGCTGATTCATAATACACGTGTTTGCCATCATTGCCCAATTACATTATTGTTACAAATAAACTATCTGAACCAGATTTTAAACTACATAAAGACACAAAGCATATTTTGCAGGTTCAGCAGTGTCAAGATTTGAAGATACAATCTACAAGTCAAGCAGGTCAGCTCCAAAATATTTCAGAAATAATTGTATACTAAGACTTATCATACCATCCAAAGTACTTTTAATTTGTCAGCGTTGATTTCACCAAATCCTCTGTGTAGATGTTTAGAGCTAAGCATTGGGGAGAATAAGCAGTTGCCATGGAAATTTAAGAAATGTGATTTACTGCCAAAATCCAGCCACAATCTGCATCAATATTTTGCAATCAATAATACAGGCGGTTCCAATATAGGTAATTGGGTTATAATGAAAATTGGGACTGGAAATTTCTATTGTCAAGAGAGGGGAGTCATGAAGTCAAAATGTTGCATGACTATGTAGCTTCATGACACCAGTTCTGGCAGTCTTGGTTGCCACTGTTATGTGAGACCCATGCAGGTCATTAAACGAAGACCTCACCTGACATGACTTCCTGCCAATTTCTGCAATGACTTTGTTTGTGAGGATGCTGCGATGGCTGAAACTCTAAGGACCCCTTTGTAAGTTCCCCCTCATTCATCACCATTACAAGTTTGAATAGTTACTGAATGAGTGATTGTAATGTAAGGACTAGCTGCATCAAACCCACAGAAAGAGCTTCATGTGGTCTGTACCAGAGGTAGTATTCAACAGGTTCTGACCAGTTCTGGAGAACCAGTAGTGGAAATTTTGAGTAGTTTGGAGAACCAGTAAATACCACCCCTGACTGGCCCCACTCCTATCTATTCTCTGCCTCCCAAGTCCCAGCTGATTGGGAGGAAATGGGGATTTTGCAATGACCTTCCCCTGGAGTGGGGAAGGAATGGAGATTTTACAGTTTCCTTCCCCTGCCACACCCACCAAGCCACGCCCACAGATCCGGTAGTAAAAAAAATTGAATCCCCCCACTGGCCTGCCCCCACTTCTTTCTCTAAGAGTCTATATTTAAAAGAGCATCCTTGGAGTCCGTGCTGTTAAGCTCCCTTGACATGAAAACCTCCCTGTATAGGAAGGTTTTCAAAATAACGTGCCAGACTCCTTGCAGTCTAGATGAAAATTGTTAAAGATTTATCTAACTGCTTAGATCAATGGCATTGATTGGAAAGAAAGTTAAGGTTACGATCAAGAATTCAAGCAATAAGCTTCTTTCAAATGAGATCCCTATGCAGCCAATTTAGAACAGCAAAAGCTGTGTCCATTTCCTTGCACTTTTTCATCCGGGGCTGGAAGCAGGCAGTCCTCATCTGCTCTTATCATTGACAGCCCTACTACTGGTTTGACAAATAACTCTTGCTCATTGAGAGAAAGGTTGCGGAGTTCATTCTGATCCCTCTCCTCACACCGATGCCATGTTGTTCTCTTTCTGAGAGCTTTTGGGATTTTGTTACGTTGCAATGGATTTCTGTCTCTGGGTGTTTCATCAACACATCCTTGAATTCTCTTCCTGGTTTCCATTTTGTTGCCTATTCAATTCCTTTCATTACTGACTATGTAAATTAGTCTTCATTTACAGTAGCAATCACAACTGGAATTGGCAATTCCATCACTAAATGAAGGGATCACAAAGTGGAAAATCATGTGATCCAGGCTGTGATTTCTACTTCAAAATTGACAAAACTAATCAGTTTCACACCTTCAGTTTGGGGTTTTTTTGCCTCTATTCCCACACCCTTCGGAATGCTCACTTGGGACAACTAAGAAAAAAAAAGTTTTTATTTAGATTTGTTGGAGAGGAAGGGATTATAAGAAAGTTTAAGTAGGAACACAGTGAGGAATACACATCAAAATAATGTAGTGGCATTGGTGGCCACAAATGTGCTATGCAAACAGCCCCACTGTGTGCCTGCTTACTATTTTGTAATCCCTTCATCTCCAAACTCTCCAGTCTCAAAAGTGTGGGTGGGAGGAGCAAAAAATAAGCAATTTCTATGGCAATCTCTTCTGTGCTTAATTTATTCTCTCTCTCTCACAGAGTAAGATTGGAGAGAAAGGGATTAAAAGAAAGTAAGAAGGCACACAATGAGAAATACACTGGGCTGTGTGCATGATGCACTTGCAGCTACTGGCACATTGCTTTTAATGTATAGTGTATACCCTATTGTATGTCTGTTTACTCTCTTGTAACCCTTCCTCTAATTTCTCTGGTCTGCAAGGGGGGAAACAAGGATAAAGAGCAGGTCAACATAAGACAACCCATACTGACCGTATGGCAATCACAAGACTGAAATACACTGCTAAGGTCATAAATGCAGGTATTGCTTACAAAGTTATTTCTTTCAGCACGGTTGTAAGTTTGAAAGGTCACTGAATGATGTAGTTGATAAGTGAGGACTATCTGAACAGTAATTGTATTCTTTTTAATACGTATCTTCCTGTTTATATACAACAGTGCTTTTTAGTTTAGGGTGGGATATATTAGTAAGATAAATGTCTTTGAATAACATGGAAAATATTTTTATGGACATGAAGCATCATCAATATTATAGGAAAATATAGTTGAAGTAAACACAAATGTGTCTTACATTACTAAAAAATAAAAACTCACCCACTTGGCAATTGGACACCCCTGGGAACTTTTTCCTTCTCTGCCTGTATACACCACTACCTCTATTCTTACAGCACTTCCTTTTGCTCCATACCTGCACAAAGGGAAACAGAAAAAAATAATTAACAGATGATCAAAAGACAGCAACAGTGACTGTGAGATCCATTTTGAATTGACTCTAAGATATTTCTGAAAGCAATACTCTCTGAAAGGAGGCTCATCTAATCCCTACCAAAGGAGCATAACATAACAAAATAAATACTGATTAGATTTTTTAAATAACAAAGCATTAAACCTGAGGCACCACACTTTAGCACAAAGAGAAAGGCCTGATGTTGCTTCTAAAAATGACAGATTCTCTGTTTTTGAAGCTCCTCAAAAACGTTAAGAATTAAAGACAGTCACCAAGGACACACAGTGCTCTGAGAGCATACTAGTGCACTTACAAATGAAAGGCTAAAATGAAAGGATAGAAATCTCAAGGAACTAAATTTCATCTATACATTTGAAGAAATCTCTCTAACAGGAGACTAGAATACCTCTTACCTAATGATATCAGCTCCATTAGGTAAACTACTGTATATCGTGAAAGCAACTCCACAGGAAGTCTTTTTATAGAGATTGGCTAGAATAACAAAATCTTGCAACTCTGTTTAGATTCCTCCTTTTTGTATTGCAAAGAATTAGGGAAGCGTCTGCCTGAGCCACTTCCAAATTCTATCTCATTGTGACTTAGTAATGCTTCAACTCAGTGGTGGAATTCAAAAATTTTAACTAGCGGTTCTGTTGGCATGGCTTGGTGGGCGTGGCAGGGGAAGGTTCTGCAAAATTCCCATTTCCTCCCGATCAGTTGGGACGGGAAAGAGAATCGATGGGGTGGGGCCAGTCAGAGGTGATATTTACCAGTCTCTGAACTACTCAAAATTTCCAGTACCGGTTCTCCAGAACTGGTCAGAACCTGCTGAATACCACCTCTGCTTCAACCCCTTTTTCTTAGGCAACAGATCGTGCATATCTCTGTCAAGAACACCTTTCTTACTCCTTAGGTGTAGCTCTCCAGCCTTGAAAATACTACCTAAGATGTTGTAATTACTCTTTTTTATAGTATGAGCAGGGTTATGGTTCAGCTTTCTCCAATTTGGCTGGGAAATTATGAAGAAGTCCACGTCATCTGGAAGGATGCCTAAATTGGATGAGCTCAAACTACAGGACTTCCAAGATCCATTCCAACATAAAGAAATGTCCTACATTTTCCCTGTTGCGTTAGAAATCCTTCTTTTACTACAAGTAAGAGACAGTTTTGTCTAGTGGTTAAGGCACCAGGCTAGAAAGCAGGAGACCAAGAGTTCAAGTTCCACTGCCTTAGAGATGGGATGTCAAACTGTATTTCTTCAAGGGCCAAATCAGCTTTGTACTTTTCAGTGAGCCAGGGGGGAGGGGGAGAGACACCCTGTTTTGGCCAGCAGAGTGCTACAGGAGGCTATTCAGGCAAGAAAATGAGATGCAGGGGGCCTCACATGGATACCCTGAACTCCATTTTGGCTGCCAGAGGCACCGCAGGTCAGATTTAAGCACCCCCAAGGGCTGGATCCGACCTGTGGCCCTAGAGTTATTTGTAAAAATAATAAGAATGGGATACAAATAAATCAAATAAATAAGTATCCTTCAGTACTCAGATTGCTGCTGTGGCATCTGAGGTTTGTTGTTGGTTTAAAGGGGGGGGGGAACTAAACCGTTTCCACTCTGGACATCACTCTCTTTCATTCTTAAGCAGCAGACAATGGCAAACCACTTCTGCAATCTTGACAAGAAAACTGCAGGGACTTCTCCAGGCAGACACCAGGAGTCAGCACTGACTCAAAAGCATTTCGCTCTCAAAAGTACACTGCTCTGTGCCATGCAAAATGCAATAATTTTCAAGTAAAAGTTGTCACCACGAGGAGGCATTCCTGTTTTAAGAAAAGGACAACTTTTTTAAAGAGTTTGTCATTTTCAATTTGTGCAAATACTTATACAATGTGTGTAAGAACTGCTGTCCAACAACAATGTCCATTTTTAAGTCAATTAATAAAACTATTAATTGGTTAAAGCAATTAATTTATCAAAACAGTGGAGTTCCAATCAAAATGTTTCACAAACCAAGGCAATCTTCAGTTTTCAGATTTATTCGCTGTAATTAGGACTAGGAGCACAGTCCAACATGGAGGGAACTAAACTTTAGCTGAAAATTAAGAGAAACTGCCTTCCTTTAATCACCTCCTTTAAAAAATATATATTTATACAATATCTAATGGGCAGTATAGACAGATTTCATTAATTCAGATCCTTAATTACTTTCTAGGGGGCTGACAATAAAAAGAAATGGAAAAACAAATCCAAGAAAAATACAAAACACAAAGAAATCACAAGCAGACCTAAAGATAGACATGGAAACAAACCGGAAAAGTGCTACAGTGCACAGAAGGTAGACAAGATTACATCCAGGAACATTTTAAGTCTTTGATTATAATCAATTTAGTAAAGAAAAAACTTCTTAACTGAATGGTTCCAGAAACAGCCTTGGTGTTAGCTACTGCTATTTGATAATCTTGTCCATAAATAAATGCTTACAGTTAGGACTTGTGGGATACCCCTGATCTCAATTTCAAATATAGGTAGACCTCAACTTTCAACCATTTGTTTAGCAAGCATTCAACGTTATGGCAGCACTGGGAAAAGTGACTTGTGAGCAGTCCTTAACAACAATTGTAACATTCCTGGGGTCATGTGATCTCCACTTGTGACCTTCCGAGCTGACTTCCAATAAACGATGGGAAAACCTGGGTCCACTAACCACCCTGTGAGTCACTTAATAATGGGGTGATTCGCCAAACAATCATGGCAAAAAAAAGAGGGTAAAATAGAGACACAACTCACTTAACAATGGAAGTTCTGGTCCCAGTTGTGGTCATACGTGTAGGACTACCCACAGTGTTTGTAGTTACCTACTATGTTTCCCTGAAAATAAGACAGGGTCTTATTTTCTCCCCCCCCCAAATAAGTGCTTGGTCTTATTTTTGGGGAGGTCTTATTATTTTTGAAGTGTGGGAGGCGGTGAGCGTGGTCACCTCATGGCTGCTGCTGTGTTGCAATATTTTTGGGGAGAGCTTATTTTCGGGGGAGGGCTTATTTTAGTGCATGCGCTCAAAAGTCCAATTGGGCTTATTATCCGGAGAGGCCTTATTTTGGGGAAAACAGGGTATGTTCTATGGCTTCTTTACATATTCATTCCTCATTGGTCTGTTTTGGGGCAGAAGCTGTTCTTTCAGATCTACATACCATAAATTATGCTGAATCCTCTTTCTTCTTTCTCTGTATCTTTAGTTTGATGCTACTATTAGAATTCCTGATGGTATCACTTGAAAATATGGGCAGCTGCTTTCAAACCAGGTTTCTGACCTAATGTTGCTGTTAGACCGGGGAGTCAAACACATTGTCACAGCAGAGTCATGTGACGTATTGGAACTTTTTTCCCTTCCGGCCAGCGCATGAAGCATTCAGCCCATGGGCCGGGAATTTGACAGCCCTATGTTAGACAAATCTTGTTTACAAGAAACAACACAAAGATTTGCATATCTTCCTCCATTTTAACCTTGGTACCCAAAGAAAAAAGTCTCTACCATCTTTGCAAGTAGTTATAAAAGCTGAAGAAATGAGAAAAAACAGTAAAAATCCTGCTAGATAGGAACAGGGCAATGCCAAGTAAGAGCAAATATGCAATATTTGCAGGCATATATTTGAAAATGCAGGCATATATTTGCAAGGGTTGCAATTCTTTTTTTCTTTCAAGTTCACACAGGTTTATCATCTAGTCACTTGGCGCATTTAAATGTCCTGCTTCCCTTTTTCTTGCTCTCCTTTTGCACCCTGCTGTGGCCAATTTCTTCATCATTTCCCAGTTCCAGGTAAGCAACATGGTAGTAAAGCAATCCTAAATGATGAGGAACATGCCATAACAGGTGGGCTGGACCCAGGCAGGGTGGCAGGAAAGAATGGCATTGGTTCTATTATGCTGAAATAAATAAACACTGGAATCTTTTAACTCAAATTGAAGCAAACAGAAGGGCTTTTTTGTGAATAAAGTTTCATCACAATCAAACTCTCCAAAATTACAGATGCTAAGCAATTTGAGGGAAGATAAGCAAACTGCAGGAAAAACAAATCAGCAAGAAAATGAATGGGGAAATTGCAATGCAGATTGCCTTATGTGAAACAGGTCTTTATGCAAGTCAAATGTATCTGATGTTAAGTATTGCTAAAAATAGTTTATGATGTTGACAGCTTAAGTTACAGTTTTCATATCACTTGCTCTGTTCATATTAAGTGTATTAATTTGAGCACGTCTCACAAGAAAGTGTCTTGTAGTAGTGCAATGTCAGTCAAATTATCTAAAATTTCCTCCTGATTTGAGATTTCACCAGTTTCCAGAGGCCTCAAATTGAATAATACGGTAACAAAATACTGAACGAATCCAGGATGACTTTATCTATAGCCTACTTATAAACTTTTGAGTTACAAACTTTGACCAATACAAACAAACTTATCCACAACTCCCAATGTAGAAGGTCCCAGAATCCAGGAAAAGGTTACTTTATGTTCACAAAACACGAACTTTGGACAAAATAGACTTACAAACAGATGTTCAGCACAGAACCTATTTGTAAGGAGAGCACTGTCTGTACACTACTAAATCTCTTGTGTCTGATTGTTTGTAACCTTCAATTGTACGAAACGGTGCATCCTAGGGCAACAATGAACCTATCTCAAAAGCCTCATTTAGAGAAGGGGTCCCCAATCCCTGGGCCGTGGCCCACCACCAGGCCTTAAGCCTTTTGGAACCAGGCCGTGAAAGCAATGGGCAAGCGCACATGCATCCCCATTCACACGAACAGCAGGCAAGTCTGTATGTTTGCCAACCGCTCTTGTGGAACCATCACCTCCACCTCCACCTGTCTGCAAAGTTGAAAAGGTTGGGGAACTCTTGACTTATAGAATGTGCCCAAAATTTAGAATCATGACCCTGAGGTACTGAAATCTAGCAAAGTTGTGGCCACTTCAGTGTTGCCATAGTCAGCCATAGTCAGGGGTACCGGTTCTCTATCCAGTTGCTGGGTAAGTGTGGTCTACTCAGCCTCCTGCACCAGGGGTGCATTTTCGCCCTCCCCAGGCTCTGGAAGCTTTTCTTGAACCTCTGGGAGGGCAAAAATGGCCTCCCACAGGCTCTGGAGGCTGGAAACAGGCCCATTTTCAGAAGACCCATTTTTTGCCCTCCCAGAGCCTCCATGTGGGCCCTGCACTTTCCTGGCATGATGAACAGGCCACGTGGAGACTCCTGAGAGGGGAGGAGTGAGCAGGGCCATTTAGTCCTTGCAACTACCAGTTTGGCAAACCAGATGTAAAATTAACATCTAGTTTGTCCAAACCAGTCCAAACTGGCTGAATCCCATCCCTGGCCATAGTCAAATAATTATTTCCAATGCTTCCTGCCAGCTTTCTACAAGGAAAGTTAAGTCTCTGGGAAAGTTGGTAGGAAGTTAGCGGTTGTTCCCACTCTCCATGCTTTTTTGCCTGTTCCTGATCATTTGTTTTTCTGCTTAGATATTAGGTATTCAAATATCTCTGAAATGGTGACCCAATTATTTCCCAGGTTGTCTAATCAATTTTAAATCAATCTTTAAAGCAACTTTAAAGGTTAAATCAATCTCCCTCAATTGCTAGTCTCTGAATATATTGGAATTATAGCAATTAACTCCTCTGGAAGGAACAAAATTGTAGAAGACAAGTTGAAGATTTTTGGAATTTAGATAAAGGTCTATCTTTACAAAATATATCTAATGCACAAAGGAAATATGGGATTGGTGAATGTCTCCCAGCCAGCACACATCCCCAAAATTCAAGAATTCATGCTTGTTCATCGTGCTTGTTGATTTAAGTGATGTTAACTTAACAATTCCGGGTGGTATACACCTGCATGGATACAAATTTCAACAATTTGTCATACAGAGCATTGATGTTACTGAATAATAATGGGTACATGCATTAAAAACTGGTTTTGATTATTTGATATTTATTCTAGTAAAACCAAGAAGGAATAAGTATAAGAACAACAACCTCCAAATCCACCCCATGACACTTGAAGCAATCTAGTTGAATGAGAGATAGCAATAGTTATAACATTTAGACTTATATACTGCTTCACAGCCCTCTCTGTAAGTGTTTACAGAGTCAGCGTATTGCCCCCAACAATCAGGGTCCTCATTTTATTGACCTCAGAAGAATGGAAGGCTGAGTCAACCTTGAACAGGTCAGGATTGAATTCCTAGTTAGAGTCAGCCTGCAATACTGCATTCTAACTATTGCGTCACCACAGCTTAACATATTTCAATATATTAAAGGATGGCAATGTGAATTTGAGGAAGGGGGCCAAGTGAGAGCTCTAGGAATTCCATAACTTCTCTCATTAGTGCAAAAGCAGAGTACTGAGTAGACAAAATAAATAAATACAAGGCTTGTGATAGGAAAACGGGGGAGGGGGGAAAGATTTTGGTAGCCAACATCTTGTAGAAATGTAAGCCTATAGGCACCCTGTTTCCCTGAAAATAAGACCTCCCCATATAATAAGCCCAATTGGGCTTCTGATCACATGGTCTTAAATAAGCCCTCTCCTGAAAATAAGCCCTTCCCAAAAATATTGCAACACAGCAGTAGCTATGAGGTGACCACGCTCGCTGCCTCCTGCAGCTCAAAAATAATAAGACCTCCCCGAAAATAAGGCCAAGCGCTTATTTCAGGGGTCAAAAGAAAATAATTATTTATGGGGAAACACGGTACATACCAGGCCTAGGTGCTGTGCTACAATTATAGCACTAAGTGCAAAACAAAGGCTGAGTACCTAGATTATAATTTGAACAGCTTGTTGCATGAATCATATCTGAATTTCCCCCATGAAATTCTCCCATAGTTCAGTCTTCTTAGCAACTTGATTACACCGCTTAGAATTAACATGAAAGAGATGAATTTCTCCACATCTCCATAAAGTGTATCGTGACTTTCTACCCAATACCCAATGCTAACAAGCACTTAAAGGCAAATGAGAATATTCAAGCTCATTTTCTAAAACAGACTCGTACTTGCTATGAGTAAGTGTTCTAATATATAGTATAGTTCATATGCAAGGGTTATTGTTCAGAACCAGCATAACAAAGCCCACCAAAGCATAACAAGAACACACTAGATATACTACAACTACTATCACCACCCATGTGTAAAATTGATTTTGATTTATTAGTATTAACATTTATTTCCTCACCTGTCCTCCATTATTTCTCTGACTGCAGCAATATTTGGGCCCGTTCCAAGGTGTGTATAATATGGACCCTCATCCTTCTCTATAATTTGTTCTGCAAAAAAAAGTTTTAAATAGCTGTTAAAAATATTGCATGGACATTCAGAAACACTACTTAAATTCCTTAAATTAAACTGAGCCTCATTTGACTCAGGTTAACTATTCTGTTAGCAATAAACAAGCAGTCTTCGACTTATAACCATTCGTTTGGAATTATAATAATGCTGGAAAAAGTTACTTATGACTGGTCCTCAGATTTATTACTGCTGCCACATCCCTGCGGTCATGTAGTCAAAATTCAGGCACTTGCCAATATGCGTGCGTTTATGGCAGTTGCAGCGTCCTGTCTTGTGACCTTCTGAGGGGGCTCCTGACAAGCCCAGTCAATGGGATGGAACCAAATTCACTTGATGACTGTGCAATTCACTCAACAACTGTGGCAATTTGCTTAATAAAGGCAGCGAAAAGGTCATAAAATTGGATGTGACTCACTTAATGGACGCATCACTTAGCAACTATTGTGGTCATAAGTCAAGGGCTATCTGTAAAACACTTCTATTAGATAAACTCATTATTATATAATTTTGGCACTGAAATGCCGGAATGGGATTAGCAACTGAGTCACACTTCAATATGAACAAAGAGAGATGGTACTAACACTATCAACAAAGGTTATTAATCTAAAATTGGTAATACTGCCATATAAGTAAATTCTGCAGGTGGTTGAATTTGTTAAAGAGTTTGGATTATTCCTTTCACATTAAAAAAAAATAGACATTACAGAGTATTATGTTGCCACTGGAATTCAATATGTTGGCCAATAACATGGATTAAGCTTAACTTCATCATTCATAAATGCTATTAGTCACAATTCCTGCATAATTCTGAACAAAATAAAACAATTCCTTTCCTTGTAAGCTGTGGAAAAGAAAGATAGATAGTTGGGAATTTTATTAGCTCTGATTTCACAAATTGATAAAAGCTCAACATTAATAGGTTTTACATTTGAAGAAAATTCAAGAAATCCAGCTAGTCAAGGAGGTATCTGCAAAGAATCTGGATAAATGTAGAGGATCTTCTTGTTATGGAATAAAATGACCGTTGGCTTACCTGAATGGTCGTTCTCTAGGTGCTGCGGGAGTGTCCAAGCATGGGTTAACTTCAGCTTGCTGCCCAAGGACTGAGTTCAAATCTTTGTGTAGCCATGCCTCCTGTTCCCCCCAGAGGCTGAATTTTAAAAACAAAGGTATCCGATCCAACGGTTGCTGTATGGAAAAGTCCATATCTTATGGTGCAAGGTCCTGCATCCATCCAAGAAAAAACCCCAGGGCGGGGTTGGACACTCCCGCAGCACCTAGAGAACGCCCATTCAGGTAAGCCAACGGTTATTTTATTCCATAACAAAGGCA